CATCCTTCCAACATCCATCCATCATCTACCCACCCATTCACCCATCCATCATCCATCACCCACCACCCACCTGTCCATTCATCCATGCATCTAACCACCATCCATGCAGTCATTGTTTCTGGAGCACCCGCTCTGCTCTAGACCCCAGGGTTAACCTCTGGGATCGTCCAAAGATTCATGAGACACAGCTTGGGTACCACCAGGCACAGACTCTCTGTTCAGGCAGGTGCACCACTGTCTCACTCTCTGCTCCTCCATGCTCTTCCCTTACCTTGATGCCTCTGTGTCCCTTAACCACTTAACAGCTCCTCCAGCAAGTTACTCTTGCTTACAGCAGCACACCTGAACATTAGGTCAGTTGCCAGTGATCACCCAGTGGTTCCCTGGACCTAGGACCCAGGCCGCAGCCATGCAGGTGAGTTTGCTTCCACCACTAGGGGTCATACACTAGAGGTGAAGGGCCTGGGCTTTGGAGCCAGGGAGCCCTGGGTTCAGTCCTGGCTCCTAGGACCCCTCACTGGGGCCATAGACAAATTGTTGAACCCTCTGGCAATCCATAGTCAAACTTGAGGCTGGTTCCTCCTACCTGACAGAGGGTGGTAAGGAGGGAACAACAGGGGGCTTGACCCTGCCCAGCCCTGTGCCTGGCACATAGTAAAGGCACAGGATAGGGTAGCAGCTGTTACATCATAGCAGGGGTTACCATGTGACCCCAGGAAGAGATGCCTCTGCCCTGTTGGCCCAGTGCATTTCTCTCACCATGTCCTGCTGGAGAGAGAGCTCAGAAATGGCTCCTGAGTGGGCAGCAGTGGGCAATGCCCACTTTGAGCAGATCAGGTGTGTAAAACTTTGAGTAATGATGCAATCCACACCAGCCTGCAGGAGTCACAGGACCCTAAAACAGCGGCATCTCACTCATAATCTAAGTGCAATAGCCACCTTGTGTCAAGCTCTTACTATTCTCCGCGACATTATTCCTCTCATTTTATAGAAGGAAAAAGCAAGATTCAGACAGAAGGGACTTGCTAAGCAACACTAGGGATTCAGTTTAAGTCGGTCTGGATGCAGCCAGAACACAGTTATTGTAGAAAACAAGAAATCTCAACGTTCTCACTGCTGATTGGGATTTTTTTAAATCTTAAAAGTGGCCAGACATGACGGCTCACATTTGCAATCCCAACATTTTGGGAGGCCAAAGCGAGAAGCTCGCTTCAGGCCAAGAGTTTGAGACCAGCCTGGGTAACACTGTGAGACCCTGGCTCTACAAAAAATACAAAAATTAGCCAGGTGTGGTGGCAACTCGGGAGGCGGAGTTCTGAGGATTGACAGAGCCCAAAAGGTCAAGGCTGCAGTGAGCCCTGATCCTGCCGCTGCACTCCAGCCTGGGCAACAGAGCAAGACTCTGCCTAAAAAAAAAAACAAATCCAAACTGGACATAACCCTGGGACTAAGTAATTCAAATTACCAAAGATATGATAATCAAGTGTGCAAAGATATATTAGTGACGTTCATCTCTGCATTATTTATAATAGCAAAAACTAGAAACTGCTACAATGTCCAGCGATAGGAGACGGGCCAATTAACCATGGAATATCCACACCAGGGAAGTCCAGGCCAATTAACCACGGAATATCCACACCATGGAAGTCCAGGAATCACTTGCGGGAGAGGATCTGATGAGCTAGAAAAATGTTCACATCTGTTAAGTTAACAAAAAAGCAGGTTACAATGAAGTATGTAGAACACTGTTCCATATTTATGTTACATTTGCATATCTATACATATGGAAAACAGCGGTGATCTGGGGATGGATAATTTTAAATTTTAAATTTTACCTAATTTTAATTTTAAATTTTACGTAATTTTTGGCTTATATTTTCTGATTATCCTGCAATCAGTGGTATTATTTATAAAATTTAAATCTTAACAAATTTTAAATGATAGACTTTGTAGAATTTAATAAAATGTTGAAGCAGCCTCCACTCCGTTCCCCCGCTAGAACGTGCGATGTCACGGGGACAGGACACCACTGTTGGAGGCGGGGGGGTCCATCTCACCTGCTCCCGAAGTCTCTCCTGACTCGGAATCCTGATGCCCATCAGGCTGCGGGTGTGGGTTCCACTCCAGGGGTGGCCAGTGCTGCTGGGCCAGGCGGAAGTCCTCCAGGAGCTCGGGGCTGGTGGCATTGGGAAAGAGTCCCTCTTCTCCCCAGCTTTGTGAGCCACTTCTAGCCACGTCCCTCTTGTCCTCGGCCCAGGCCCAGCGCCGCCGCTGGGGGCCCTTCCCCAGGCCAGGCTCAGCCCAGTGGATCTCAGTCCCCGAGCTGGCCATCGGGACTGGCCTGGGCTTCACCTGGGCCACTTCATCTTCAGGAGAAAGAGTTGCCGCCGGGGGGCCCCAGAGTCACCGCTGGCTCCTATCAGCATTGGCCATCCTGCCTGTGCCCTGTCAGGGACACATTTAAGGGATAACATTAATCAATCCTGATCCCCTCTTTTATTCGGAACAAGAAGTTTCCAGCAGGAACTCTGGAATTAGACAGCCCTGGTTCGACTCCTGGCTGCGTCCTCCCAAAGCTACGTGACCTTGGGCAAATCACTCTACCTTCATTTTCTTCATCAATAAAGCTGGAATCATAATTCCTCTCTCCTTCCAGGGTTTTCTAAACTAGATGAGACACAGGATGAGGAGCCCAGCAGCCGGTACACTGACCAATTTTCTATTCAGTGCCTGGCCAATTTTCTATTGCATCTTTTTAGAAAATCATTTTTGAGCCGGGCGCGGTGGCTCAAGCCTGTAATCCCAGCACTTTGGGAGGCCGAGGCGGGTGGATCACGAGGTCAAGAGATCGAAACCATCCTGGTCAACATGGTGAAACCCCATCTCTACTAAAAATACAAAAAATTAGCTGGGCATGGTGGTGCGTGCCTGTAATCCCAGCTACTCAGGAGGCTGAGGCAGGAGAATTGCCTGAACCCAGGAGGTGGAGGTTGCGGTGAGCCGAGATCGTGCCATTGCACTCTAGCCTGGGTAACATGAGTGAAACTCCGTCTCAAAAAAAAAAAAAAAAAAAAGAAAATCATTTTTGAAAATATTCTTTCTAATACATGTAATATATTAGCATGACATGTTCAAACAAATATATTTTTACTGATGGGTTGTGTGATTAAAAAAAATATTGGGGGACCAGTAGGCCAATGCATGCTAGCTAGTGTTACTGAGTACTGGCTCTGCGTGTGGGCATGGGGCACAGGCCTTGCTCACAGGAGAACCGATGCCCCAGGAGGAAGCAGACGCATCACCAGGCAACTAGAAATCCAGGTGAGACGTGCTGGAGGAGGCACAGGGGCTGCCCGACACAGGCCAGAGAAGTCAGGTGATGCCAGTTTAGAAGTCAGTTCCTCTGGGAATCTCTGCCCTCACCCGGGTAAGAATTCAGATTGAGAGGTGGGCGGGGGGAGACAGTGAAAAGGGCATTCCAGACCAGGTATGGTGGCTCACGCCTATAATCCCAGCATCACTTTGGGAGGCTGAGGCGGGCAGATCACTTGATCTAGGAGTTCGAGACCAGCCTGGGAAACATGGCAAAACCTCATGTCTACAAAAAATTAGCCAGGTGCGATTGTACACACCTGTAGTCCCAGCTACTCTAGAGGCTGAGGTGGGAGGATCACTTGAGCCTGGGAGGTTGAGGCTGCAGTGAGCCATGACTGCACCCCTGTACTCTAGGCTGGGTGACAAAGTGAGATCCTGTCTCAAAAGAAAAAAAAAAGGCAGCATTCCAATACCCAACATAATTGAAAACAGGCACTCAAACAAAAGGAATGAAGTCCTAACACACAGTACAGTCTAGATGAACCTCAAAAACGATGCTCAGTGAAAGACGCCAGACACCAAGGCCACCGATGGTGTGATTCTATGGATAGGAAACGTCCAGACAAGGTAACTCCTGGGAGAGTGAAAGCAGATTGGTATTTGCCAGGGCTGGGGGAGAGGAGAGTGGCACTGCCTGCTTGCTGGGTATGGGATTTCCTTTCGAAGTGATGGAAATGTTTTGCAACTCGATAGAGGTGGCAGTTACACAACATTGAATGTACTCAATGTCGCTGAATTGTTCACTAAAAATGGTTAGTTCTATATTATGTGAATTTCACCTCAGTTTAAAGAAAAAGCCTTCCAAGTGAGGGGACCTGGGGGTGGAGAGCGAGCCTGCCAGGGACTTTCCTGGACCTGGCCATGGTTTCCCTGATGATGACGGGGGTATTGAACACAGGGAGAGCCCATCAGAGGTGTGGTTTAAAAGTTCCCCGTTCCCCTCGGGCAGCTCTGGGAGAATGAGCAGGGGAACCTGGCCGCACAGGGACCTACCAGGCAGCTGCTGCAGGAACAGGGTGGCCAGAGAAGGGCTCCTCCACTGCCTTCCATCAATCCTCTCCTTCTTTCCCTCATCCCTCTTCCCTCTCATCTCCTTTTGCCTCTTCTTTCCCACTCTCTTGCTATTTCCCCAAGTACTTCTTCTGTGCCAAGCACTGAGCCAGACCCAGGAAGTGCAAAGCTGACCCAGCCTGGGCATGGTCTCCCAGGGAGCTCCTGGCCATGGCCCATCAGCACAGCGGGCCCCCAGGGCAGCTCATTACAAAGGCCTTCTCCCACAGATGGGGAAACTGAGGTCCAGAGAGGGGAGAGGCCTTGCACAAGGCAAGGGTGAAAGTCAGCCTCCTGGCCTGCAGTCTGAGCTTTCTCCCCTGCATGCTATGTCGAAGGGAGTATGACTCCAGGCCTCCCAGGACAGAAAGTCTGTGTTTGTCCCTTTATCCTCGTGAGCATTTGGATCCTGCTTGATTTGTGTGGCTGAGAAAAGTCAGCAGGCAACTATTTTTGGACACAAAGTTCCCCAGGGAACAGATCAGCCCAGGAAAGGCTGACTTCTCAAGGGCTGGAGGAGGGAGGGACAGGGAACACCCTTCTTCCCTCCTTGGCTGCGACTCTGCTCCGTGGATGGGTGTTCGGGTTTCTATCCTCTGTTCCCACCCAGTCTTCCTCTCTACCCCCAAATGTAGAGCCCCAGAATTTCCTCCAGATGGCCCTGTGTATTATCCTCCAGCCCCATAGTCCCCACCACAAGTGATGAGCCCACTCGGCCCCAGCCTGGCTAGAAGCTTTACCTGTAAGTTCAGAATCTGCCCTCCCTACAAACATTAGGGTAGAACTTGGCTGAGATCACTCAGCTACTTCCTGCCAGAGCAAGACTTGCTACTGTCAGTTTTGGCCTAGTGGACCCCCAATATTTTTTTTAATCATACAACCCATCAGTAAAAATGTATTTGCTTGAATACATCATACTAACATGGTACATGTATTAGAAAGAATAATTTCAAAAGGGATTTTCTAAAAAGATACAATAGAAAATTGGCCAGGCACAGGGGCTCACGCCTGCAATCCCAGCACTTTGGGAGGTCAAGGTGCGCAGAAAGCTTGCGCTCAGGAGTTCAAGGCCAGCCTGGGCCACATGGCAAAAGCCTGTCTCTACTAAAAATGAAAAGGAAAAAGGACATAAATACAGGCGACCCTTAACGACACAGTTTGAACTGCACAGGTCTACTTATATGTGGATTTTCTTCTGCCTCTGCCACCCCTAAAACAGTAGATCAATCCCTCCTCTTAAGTCCGCCTCCTCAACATGAAGATGACAAGGATGAAGACCTTTGTGATAATCCACTTCCATTTAATGCAAGTAAGGAGATTTTATCTTCCTTATGATTTTCTTCATATTTCCTTTTCTCTGGCTTACTTTGAGAAAACAGGACATAATGCATATAGCCCATAAAATATGCATTAATCAACTGTATATGTTATCAGCAAGTCTTCCAGTCAATAGCAGGTAATTGATAAAGTTTTGGGGGAGTTAAAAGTTCTAAGCAGGCCGGGCGCGGTAGCTCACGCCTATAATCCCAGCACTTTGGGAGGCCGAGGGGGGTGGATTACAAGGTCAGGAGCTGGAGACCAGCCTGGCCAACATGGTGAAACGCTGTCTCTACTAAAAATACAAAAATTAGCCGGCTGTGGTGGTGCACACTTGTAATCCTAGCTACTCAGGAGGCTAAGGCAGAAGAATCATTTGAACCCAGAAGGCGGAGTTTGCAGTGAGCCAAGACTGTACCACTGCACTCTAGCCTGGGCTACAGAGCAAGACCATGTCTCAAAAAAAAAAAAGTTATAAGCAGATTTTTGACTGTTACGAGGGTTGGCACCCCTAACCCCTGTGTTGTTTAAGGGTCAACTGTATTTTATATTTTGTTTTATTTCATTTTACTGAGACAGGGTCTCAGTGTTACCCAGGCTGGAGTACAGTAGCAATCAGGGCTCACTGTGGCCTTGACCTCCTGGGCTTAAGCCATCCTCAGCCTCCTGAGTAGCTAAGACCAAAGGTACACGCCACCATGCCTGGCTAATTCTTAAAAACTTTTTGTAGAGATGGGGTTTTGTCATTTTGCCCAGGCTGGTTTTCAACTCCCGGGCTCAAGTGATCCTCCTGCCTCAGCCTCCCAACGTGCTGGGATTACAGGCATGAGCCACCCACCCAGCTGGTCAACTGTATTTTAAATAGAAGCTCTAATCCTTGCTTCTCATACCTTCTGCAGGGCCTGTACCCCTCTTGGAAATCCCTGCCAGGGATCTTAAGCTTCAGCGGGCTTAAGAATCCTCTCAGCATGTAGTTTCCTGAAACAACCTGCGGACAGCCTGACTCAGTGGCCCTGGGATAGGGCCCAGGAATCTGCATTTTAAACCAGGGCCTCAAGCAGGGCCTGCCCTTTGAAGTCCGCTAGGCCCCCTCGCTCCTGCAGTTACCAGTTACGGCAGGTGGAGGAGGGGCTACCGTTTAGCTGCTGCTTTTCTGGTTCTGAAGCCTCTGCTGGGAAGGGGCCGGGGGAGGTATGTGGTTTTTGACTTTTTAAAGGGCTTTTTTTCTAGCTCTGCCACAGAGCAGCCTGCCCAATCACAGATGCCTCTGGGTGCACAAAGAGGAACATCCTGTCTTCTGGGATGACTCAGTCGTGGCAGAAATCTCACTGTAACCAGGGGAAGGTGCACGTCACAGGCAGCTGCGGTGACTGGCTGGAGTTTTGCACTTGCCCCCAGGCGCCTACACCAGTGAGCCTTTCCAGAGCAAGGCCACCATCTTCCATGCGAGCCACGGCCCTCAGCACCACAAGAGCCCCAGAAATGGCCGGTCAGCTAGTCAGTCAACAAACACACACTAGTGCGGACTACCTGCCAACCTCCGACAGGGATGATGCTGTGATAGAGAAGCAGGCTGGGCATCAGGGGACAGGTGCCAGTCCTGGTTGCTGTCACTCACCGCGTATGGCTGGGCTGGCATTTCCCTCACTGTAAAATAGAGAAAGTACCGTCTGCTCACCCTGCTAGGCTGGGTTGGGGAGCAGGGGATGGGACTCAAAGAACGCTGACATTCCTGGTTGACTCAGCTCCTAAGGGCAACAGCCTCAGAGCTGTTAGCCTCTCTCCTCCTCCCTGAGGTCACATTTCAAAGTACAAAGATACATACCGAGCACCTGGCAGGTGCAAATTAAGTTTTTAAAAAAGCCTTATGACTTCCTACTACATACCAGGCACTACATAAGATGAAAAGAATGCAGAAAAGAGTAAAAGCGTTCCAAAATTTTGAATGGTGCAGGTTAGTGCAATACAGAAGTGTTACGACAGGAAGCTTTAAGGTGGGCTTGAGAAATGGTGAGGGTTTTGGGGGAGAAGATTCGGGAGGGCATTCTAGGCAGAGGGAACAGCATAGGCAGAGGCACGGAGGTCTGAAAGTATGACCTGACCTTGAAGAAGAGCTATGAGCAGGGGCCCTGAATGCCAGAAGAGGCAGCGTTGTTTCAGCCAGCCTTCCTTAGGGCAGCAAGGCTGCCCCTCAAAGGCATTGAGTGGGGTTTGGTGAAGACTCCAGCCATGTGAGCTGGGGGCTGACCACAGGAGGGTCAGCTCCTTTAGGATGAAGTCCCCACTGGGAGGGCTGTGGAGCTCAGGGCCCCTGCCATCCCTGGAGAAACTGGCCCCCCAGGAAATAGCAGCCACTCCGCCCTCCTTCTGTACATCTCCTCACCCCCATGCCGCCCCTGCCCCTGCTCTCTCAAGGGTCTAACACACCCCCAAAGTGTCTATCTTCAGTTCCTGGGTGGGATGGACTCCTCTTCCCTGCCACCCACACAGGGCTCCTCTGCCCCCTCAGCCACTCCACAGCCAGCGACCCTTCCCTGTGTAGCTCGATTCCTCAGAACGGTCCAGACCCCCAGGTCCTCCTTCGCCAGCACAGCCACGCAGCCCGCACTGCCTCCCTGTGCCCTCTGCAACCCTTTCCCTCCGGCCAGGGCTGCCCAGGGTGCACCCCTGCTTCTAACCCACACCCCCATCCCGATACCTCCCAGATGAGGAAACTGAGGCACAGAGACGTGGCAGGCTCTCCGAAGACCTCACAGCCAGGAAGTGCAGCTGGAGGATTCAAAGCCCAGGTGTCGCAATTCTGAAACCAAGACTATCAGACACGTAGGGGGCAAGGAGATGGGGAAAGAAGACCCCCGATATCAGTAACCAGGCCTTCCAAAAAGGCTGTGCTGTTGGCCTCCGCCATCCCACACCTCCAGTTGGCACAGACCTGCTTTTCTCAAGGGGTTCCACCAGTTGTGTGGACACTAGTCCCGCAAAGAAGCACCAGCAACTCCCCCTCTGTGTGTCCCCTCCCTGCCCCCAGCCCGCTCCAGCAGCAGAGGCTGAGGAGAAAGAGAAACAGTGCCCTGTCTCTGGTCTTGCCACCCTCAAGATCTGAGCTGGGTCTGCTGGTCCGCGGACCGTCCCTGGCTCCTTTCCTTGCCCTTACACAGCTGACATAAGGGACTACTGCTTTGATGGGGAAGCCCCCCTGCTGCCACTGCCTCCTGGCCTGCTCCCCATCCTGGCATTGTCTCTGAGACCCCTTAGCAACCAAGGACACTAACTCTCCAGGTGCAGATGAGGACACCCCAGGCACACAGATGGACCCGCCTGTCCAAGTTCACAAGAGATCAGCATTAAAGCTGGGACTGGAATCTAGCATCCTGAGGCTTGACGAAATCCTCCTTAAATCCACGCTTGCCCTGGGGGGGGGCGGGCTCCCCTGAGTCAAGAGACAAGCGATGCAGCTCCAGCAGCTGCAACTTCCTGGCTGGGCTGGTCCGGCTGCCTGGGCTGTCCCAGCGTCAGTGACTCGCCCGTCCAGAAGGAAGGCAGCCTCCCGGGCCCTCCTCCGTTCCGACCCCTTACCTCTCTTGGGCTCCACCACGGTCCTCCCGGGCCAGTTTCAGGGGACCTGCCTTTGAAGTCTTTGTTCCAAACCCAGGGAGCCCCCTGCCTCCATTGCGCCCTGGCCCGCCTCCAGGCCGTTCTGCCAGCCCAGGCTGCTGCTCACACACCAGCATCCTCCCCACCTCTCCCCGCCCCTGTCAGCTGAGGCTGCCTCGCCTCGCCTCAGCAGGAAGCGCCCAGCCTGATTTCCTACAAGTGTTTGTCAGAAGGAGGGGGTTTGTCTGCGTGCAGAGCAGAGCCAGAGGAGCTTAACCCCTTACAAGCCCTCCGAAGGTCTGCGCTGCCCAGAAAAGGACTCAGGGAACAAACTCCTGATGTCCTGGGCTTGGGATCGTCTCAGCCCAGGCCCCGCAGGTACAGATGGGGACACTAAAGCACAGAGAAAGTCAGAGGCTTGGCCGAGGTCACACAGGATGCTGTAGCGCCTGCCCTCCAGGCCCTCTTCAACCAGGGCCTGACTGTGGCTGAGCCTCCTTCCCTCACTAGGCCTCAGGGCCCATCTGCCCGGGAGAGCTCCGACTCAACCCCACTCCTGCCCTTCCAGCTCTGACTCTGCCAAAGGCAGTCTGAATCTCAGGGAGACCATGGTGATTCCTGCCATCTCAAGCCGCTGTCCTCACCCCGAGGTGGTCCTGCAGTCAGAGTGGAACGTTCCGGACAGCATGGAGGCATGATACGGACAGATGAGGTAAACTTTCCCTGTGGGAAGAACCCTCCAAGGGTTCACCAGGTGTTGGGAACAGATTGATCCTGACAGTCAATCAAAGCTGTCTTTTCTCAAGCCCCACCATCCCATTCCTTCATTCATAGGTACTCCCTGAACTGAGCTCCTACTGTGTGCCAGGTGCTTTTGAAGGTGCTGGGGATACGGCAGAGCCCAAGACAGACCAGGCCCCTGCTCTCCACTCTAGCAGAGACACGGACAATAACCAAGCACATGTATAATGTCAAGGGGAGAGCGGTGAGCAGTGAGACTCAGTGACCATCCATGTCCCAGGCCAGGCAGCATTGAAGCCTGGGGCTCACCTGGGTCGACAGAGTCAGTCTCTGGGCATCAGAGAGTTTAAGTGTCCCGGCTGACTGGCCCTGGTAGAGAACCCACGGGACCAAGAGTAATAGGCTGAGGAGAAGGGTTATGGATGGTCAGGAAGGTCTCTATGAGGAGGTGACATTCAAACAAGGCACTGGAAGGAAGATGGGCAAGAGCAAGCGACAAGAAGGGCTGGGCGGAGTGTTCTGGGAGGGCAAGCGTAAAGGCAAATGTGGGGGAGCCAGCAGGCTTTCCCTGAGAACAGCAAGGCCTGTGCACCCGGGGCAGAGCGAGCCAAGCAGGAGAGGCGGGAGCTTTGCAGAAGATGAGGCAAAGGAGGACGAGAGGCTGTCAACACTGGCCCCACCCAGGACCCAGAGACTCTGAGTCAGGAAACAAGAAGAAAAAGAAAAAAAAATCAGGCCTCTGTATTGTCCAAAAAGCCCTCCAGGTAGTTCTGATAAGCAGCCAGATTTGGGAACCATTCATGTAGGACAGAAAAAATCTTCGAGTCAGTGTGGACCTGGGTTCAAATCCCAGCCCCCTCTCTTGCTGGCTCTGATCTTCGAGTCAGTGTGGACCTGGGTTCAAATCCCAGCCCCCTTTCTTGCTGGCTCTGATCTTCGAGTCAGCGTGGACCTGGGTTCAAATCCCAGCCCCCTCTCTTGCTGGCTCTGATCTTCGAGTCAGCGTGGACCTGGGTTCAAATCCCAGCCCCCTTTCTTGCTGGCTCTGATCTTTGAGGCTTCACCTCTCTAGGCCTCAGTTTCTTCATCTGTAAAATAGGGATAAGAAGAGTAGCCACCCCACAGGGGCTGCTGTAAAGATTCGATGAGGCGACGCTCCCAAAGGCAGAGCAGGGGACCCAGAACACAGTCATGTATTGAGCTCTTTTATTTTTGCTACTACAACCACTGCTGCTACTTAGGTATAAGTCTCCGGTCTCCTCGAAGCCTGACACACTGTTCATGGCTGATGGATGTGTTCCATCAATGGATGAATTCGCTAATGAGTGGACTTTCCCAAGGTCAGCTTGTAAGTAACTGGCAGAGCCAGGGCTAGAACCAGGAGCCCTCATCCTGGTGACCACCCACCCCTCTATCCACTTCCCTGCCTTTTACCCACATCTGGGTGGCAGGGCTCTCCTTGCAGCCCCCAGCCCCTCATTGAGCAGAGCCAAACCCTAATCAGGCCCCTCCCTGCCAGCTCTGGTGGCCATGTGTGCCATTGTGTGAGGGGCGGGCTCCCCTGACACCCCGTCACTCACTCCCCCTCCCTCCCTGGTCATTAACACACGCAGCACTGCTATCAGCACCAGATGGCTGCCGTTGCTGGGCATGCCTGTGGCCGGCGGATAACCCCAAACCCATCTTAGGGGCAGCCACCTAACACCAAGAAGAACCGCCTCTGGTGCAGTCCGTTCCATTTCCTTGCACCCCCAAGCCGGACAAAACCTCCTCCCTGCCTCTCCTCAGGCAGCGCCCACCTCCTCCCTTTTTTGTTGAGCTGGAGTTTCGCTCGTGTTGCCCAGGCTGGAGTGTAATGACGAGATCTAGGCTCACCGCAGCCTCCACCTCCCGGGTTCAAGTGATGCTTCCACCTGGGCCTCCCGAGTAGCTGGGATTGCAGGCATGTGCCACCACGCCAGTTGATTTTTTGTATTTTTAGTAGAGACGGGGTTTCGCCATGTTAGCCAGGATGGTCTCGATCTCCTGACCTTAGGTGATCTGCCTGCCTCAGCCTCCCAAAGTGCTATGATTACAGGCGTGAGCCACCACACCCGGCTGCAGCACCCTCTCTTAGATCACAGTCCCCACCCACAGGCCAAATTCTACCAAACCGAAGCAGCATGTCCAAGACCGAGCTCCTAGTATACCACCCTCCAAGCCCACCCCTCCTTAGTTTGGCCCATCTTTCACCCAGGTACATACTGAGAATCAGCTGTCATCCTGGATGCTTCCCTTTCCCTTACATCCCGTAACCAACCCATCATCAACTCCTAGTGATTTCATTTCCTAAATTTCACCGGAATCTGTCTCCATTTCTGTATCCCCACGTGGGTCCCTGGATGGGCCTTGCCTGGAAAGCTCTAGGGTCCACTAATCCGTTCCCCACACTGCACCGATGCGATCTTCAAGATAGGAGTTTCCAAACTTGCCATGGCTCTGAGAAAGAAGAAGAAACTCCATGGGCTGGCCGCTGTTCCAGCCTCTTCTCCCACCACCCTCTCTGCCCTTGCTTAGCATGCTCCTACCACACAGGCTTCCTTGCTCTTCCTGGGACAGATGTGCCCTGCTCCTCCGCTCACTCAGCCCCACTTCTTTTCCCCGTTAACTTGTAGGCAACCTGCAGACCTCAGCTCCAGAGTGCCCTCCTGAGGGACTCACCATTTGGAACTATATTTCATATGTGCTTATTTGACTAACGTCTGTCTCTTGACTCAGTTGGGAGCTCTGTGAGGCTCTCATTATCATATCCCCAGGACTCAGCACACAGACCCTGGTATAGAATAGAAATACAATAAATAGGGCTGGGCGCAGTGGCTCATGCCTATAATCCCAGCACTTTGGGAGGCCGAGGAGGGCAGATCACGAAGTAAGGAGTTCAAGACCAGCCTAACCAACATGGTGAAACCCCACCTCTACTGAAAACACAAAAGTTAGCCAGGCATGGTGGTGGTGTGTGCCTGTAGTCCTAACTACTCGGGAGACCGAGGCAGGAGAATTCGCTTGAACCTGGGTGGCAGAGATTTCAGTGAGCCGAGATCACGCCACTGTACTCTAGCCTGGTGACAAGAACAGGACTCCATCTCAAAAAACAGAAAAAGAAATACAATGAATACATGCTGGATCATCCACTGAACCTAGCTATTTGCCCAAGCCTGACTCAGAGCCCTCCTAACAACCCAATGAGGCTAATGTGACAACCCCATTTTACAGCTGGGCAAACAGAGGCCCCTAGAGCCCAAGCAGCTTTCCCAAGGTCACAATGCTAATGAGCTGCAGCAGAGTTTCAAACACACAAAGACCCGGTTCTTAATGACCCAATTTGGTGCTCACAACATTGCAGCTCACAGAGAGTTAATATCTGTGCACGGTAAAATCAGGAGTGGAGATTATTACCAACGAATTGCAATTCACAAAGCCAATGTTCTAATTGTATAGTGAGGCACGGGTTCCACACAGCGCCTTTTGGTTTCCCAAAATGCTTTCTTCTTCTTTTGAGGGCTAGATGCTCAGTAACAGAATGTCAAAGTGGGCAGAACAGGAGTCCTATTCCATTGTATAGGTGAGGGTGCTGAGGCCCGGAGAAGGGAAGAGATTAGTTCCTGTTCACCCAGAAAAGAAGCAGCAACAAAACCCTCTGACGTCCACTGCCAGGGCTTGACGACTTTCACCAGCAACAGGCGTGCGCGTGGCTGCGTCTGCAGAACCCTGCCAGCCTTCCCACGGAGCCCAGCTCGCCTTCGGCCACTTACTCCCTCCAGCGTCTGGCTCATGACATTCCAACCCCACAGGAGCCATTTCTCACCTACTTCCTCATCGCCTCACTGCTTCCTCATCGCCCACTCAACCATCCCTCCCTCATGACCTCCCTCCACAACCATTCCTGAGCCCCCCTTAAGTGCAAGCATGTTAACCAATCTGGAAGGCGGCTCTTTCTTTAAGTCTTCAGGTGCAGCCCAGGACATACCCCTGGACTGGGCTGGGCCACACTTGCTGACGTGATGAACCCTGGACAGTCACCCCTCACACCATGTCCCCCAGGAGCACAGACATGGTCTATGGGGGGGTCACCAGGCTTCTCTGCCACCCTAGTGGAAACCAGGAGCTAGAACTTCAGGAGCTCTGGGGGCTGACACCTGTGTTGCTCCACCCTCAGTCGCTCTTTGGGCTCCCTGTCACTCCCTTCCCTGGAAAAGAAATGAAAACCTACCACAAGGTAACCCACTCCTTCCTGCCCAGGATGCTGCGTTTACCCCGTAGTTAAAATTCACAGGGATGCTGGGTTCGGTGGCTCACGCCTGTAATCCCAGCGCTTTGGGAGGCCAAGGCGGGCAGATCACTTGAGGTCAGGAGTTCAAGACCAGCCTAGCCAACATGGTGAAACCCCATCTCTACTAAAAATACAAAAATTAGCCAGACGTGGTGGTGCACGCCTCTAATTCCAGCTAATTGGGAGCCTGAGGCACAAGAATCACTTGATCCTGGAAGACAGAGGTTGCAGTGAACTAAGATCATGCCACTATACTCCAGTCTAGTGAGACTCTGTCTCCAAAAAAAAAAAAAAAAATTCCACAGGGAGTCTGGGGGAGAGAGGAGGCAGGTGAGGGTTTCAGGAGTGAACCAAGAAGAAGTGGTGAAGCCTGGCTTGGGAAGCAGAGACCCAAGTTCCAGCCTGAGTGCCCAGGAGCAAGCACCTTCCTTTCTCTGAGCTTTGGAACCTGGGCTTAATGCGATTGTCTCTGAGGTTATCAGAGATTATCTCCTAATGCTAACCCTCCTGGATTCTTCATGCCGTTTGCCCACACAGGCAGAAATGCCATGCTGACGGGAGGCTGCAGGGCACAGGTGTTAAGGCACACGGCCATTGTGGGCAAACAGAGAACTCCATGTTCTCCCTTGGAAGCTGTGTAACCTTGGGCAAGCTGCTTAACCTCTCTGAATCCCAGATTCCACATCTGTAACATGGGCCAATAATTACAGGATTCTTGGGATGACAAATGAGACTATGTGCCTAGAGTTCTTGGCCCCAGTGCCCAGCTAGCACAGGGTAACTGTTCACAAATAAATGGCCTTGCCTTTCCGTGAAACGCCCATATGACCTGCTCCCAGCAGGACTGAGTTTAATTTTCCTCATCCACAGCTTCCACAATCTCAACCCCAGCTCTAGCAATGAGTCCTGGACACAAAAAGGTAGAGGCAGTTTTCCCAAGTGGAGGGAGATGCTGACATTCCCTTGTGACCCTCTTCCCTGTGGCCCCTAAACCAACTCCAGGACTCACCGACCCAGCTAGAAATTCTGTCCTCACTCTGAGTAGCTAAGGAGCAGAACAAACAGCCCCTTCTCAGCCAACTGAGACAGGGTTATGAGGAGGTATGGCCATAGTGAGGAAAACACACACACACACTCAAATTCACGCTCTTTCCAAAGAGCCCAACAAACAACAACAGAAAAAGCGTGCATGTGCCAGGAAGGTACTGCTAACAGCAAAACTTTACTGAACATCTATTATGTATCAAATACCGTATAAAAGCCTTTCCACGGATTCAGATCTCATTATTTAATCCTCATACTCATCCAAGGAGGGAAATCATTATGCCCATTTTATTTTATAGGTGAGGAAGCTGGTTTGAACACAGACAGTATAATCTTCATCACTTGCAACTGAAACTTGCACGAGGTAAAATGATTGGAAAACGGTCGCAGTCTCCAGTAGCAGGTGATCATTGAAAGAAACTGTCATTTCCACTCAAAGGATTAATATTAGCAGGCGTTAGCATCATGCTATTGAAGAATAGCAAATAATGTAAAAATGTTGCTATGTTAAGTGGACAAGCCAGTTAGAAAATAATATATATCTAGTTTGAGTTCATTAAAAAAAAAAAAAAACAACAGTAAAATATGGAGGAGGAGGAGTAGGAGGAAGAGGACAGGGCGGAGACAGGATAGGAAAAAGAAAGAGGGAGAAAGTGAAAAAGAAGTACATGTTTTAAAATGTTTACAACAGGCCGGGCGCGGTGGCTCACACCTGTAATCCTAGCACTTTGGGAGTCCAAAACGGGCAGATCTCCTGAGGTCAGGAGTTCAAGACCAGCCTGGCCGACATGGCAAAACACTGTCTCTACTAAAAATACGAAAATTAGCCAGGCCTGGTGACAGACGCCTGTAATCCCAGCTACTAGGGAGGCTGTGGCAGGAGAATCACCTGAATCTAGGAGGTGGAGGTTGCAGTGAGCCGAGATCGTACCACTGCACTCCAGCCTGGGCGACAAGAGTGAAACTCCGTCTCAATTTAAAAAAAAAAGGTTTACAATAATTATCATGAGGTAGTAGGTGAGTTCTTTTGATAGGTAAGTTTGCCATTTTTCCTTCTGGGTATTTTCTAAAAATAACAGTTCCTTTAAAAAATAAGAATAATGAACATATACTATTTTTAAAAACAGAACAAACGAATACCACCTCACATCTGTGTGGTGCTTCATTCTGACCTCAGGCACTTCCACCCTCACTTTCCCCTCCTGTGAAAGGTGAAAGGTATGGTTGGGCTCTTTGAGGCCCTTTAAGGCTCTGACCTCCTTTAACATTCTGTAACCCCCACACCTTCTCCTCCTCTGTTTAAACTCTAATACAATATGTTGTTTTCTGCGATACACCCATTACACAACATGCGGGAACACATGAAAATCACAAAAAGGAGAGGATGCAATCAGCCACCAGCCTTAGCCACTTTTTGCATTTGGAGGCACGACATTTGTTGCTGGATTGGATCCTTATAAATAATTAAGCAATTAACAGATGAAGAAAGGCTCAGAGAGGTTATACAACTTGCCCAAAGTCACACAGCACATTAGGGCACCGTTGGGTCTGTATCTACAAATAAAGCATTATCCTCCAGACGAATCCTTAGTGGTG